ATCAGATTTCCAAGGGAGTTTTTACCAGGATGAAGTCAAATGGCGGAGGAACACCAGTGTCTCCAGAATGAACACAGAACATAATTTAATTATTATATTAAATTTCACACTCAAGAGAACTTTCTAATGCACAAGCATACATGGAACCCACATACAGGGACCATTTTTCCACTAAACTACAGACAGCTTGGCCCTTCCTGGAAATAAAATGGTAAACAATGAATTGGGTTAATTATGAAAGATATGACAGTCAAACGGGAAGAAAAAGATACAAGGCTGTGTCACTGCTCAGGATGGCATGGTGCCAGCACACCAGTGCCAGAATGTACTCAGACTGACAAAGAGAAAGTATGAACATGAACTCCATGACCTCAAGTGGATAAGGCCTAGCTTTTAGGACTCATTCTAGGTGGCTTCTGTCACAATTTTTGCCAATGTTCTTCTTAGAGATTGCCTACCTGAAAATCTAACTTAGAAAATTAATTACTTGATTGAAGCAAGAACGTTGCTTTGCTTCTGCTGGCAGAGTTTCTAGCTGGCAATGATAAAGCTCCTAAAGTGAGAGGAACAAAGCCATTAAATAATTGATAGAACACACTTCCGCACAAGCCTGTTGGATGCCTGGAGCTCTATGGGGATGCAAGTTAAGAGCCCGATATTCCATTACAACAGATTTAGGCAATGAGGGGCTACTAGAGTTTCTCCATTACTATAAATCTCACTGAAATTAATATTCCAAACAGCACATGGCCTGTCAAATAGAAATGATTTCAGAAAGCACCAGTTCTCAAACCTTAAGATGCAGATGATGGCTGTAAAGTAAATGATGATTAGTTTCTCGGCCAAGCAAGAAGGCTGATAAAAGGGGTTATATGTTGATGGATGCATTTCTATAATTTTCATAGGCTCCATTCACTACTGCTGAGTTAAGGAACATTCTGCTTGTGTTTTAGAACTGAATGCTTCATGAGGTCTGCTTTCCTAGTTCAGAAATGTATAAAATGCAAAGAACATATACAATGTAGAATCTGAAAAAGCTAACTTCTGAACTTTTATTTTTGCCTAATAATGGAGGATATTGTTGCAGTAATATTTTAGAGAAAAGGGACCACATATCTGTGCACTGTGTTTCTTTAAACAAGAAATGCATCTACAGAGAAAGAATGAGAAAACATATGGAGCATACATCAACAATGGACAAGTTTATCTGAGAATCTGCAACTTTCCCCTAAGTTTAAAATTACGATAACACAGGCAGCAAAAAAATCTTACCATGCTTCTGAGTAAAGATTTTAGTTTTTGTTTGTTTTCAAGAAATAAAGAACAAAAGCAGTTGTCGACCTTGCTTTTCCCCTAAACTGGTTCTGGCTCATTCTTTCTGTAATAGCAACAGACTGAAAGTAAAGATTTGACTTTATGATGTATCACAAAGAGTTGAGAGAGTACAAGCCAACACTGAGCCTGAACTAAAATACGGAGATATGAAGCAAGATCCTTTCAGTTTACTTATAGAAGAATGCTAGAAAACAACCTTTGATGTTCAGTAGAAAACTAACCTGTTTCCTGACAGACATTCTTTTCTCTACTCAAAGTGAGAGAGGAAAGGTAGATAATGTTCTAGGGAAAGAACAATAAAACAGCTTTAATTTAAAAGTATTAACTCCMAAAAATCCATTTTATCTGTTTTAAAGTACCAAAGTTCACTAGGTGGAATACAGAAACTAATATTCCTCCTTAAAAAGACACTACTAAGACATTAGATTAGATTCCACCAAAAGCCAGCAAACTTTATGTTGAGAAAAAATAAAAAATAAAGGTTTTTATACTCTTATACCCTTTCTAAGAATTGGGCCTCTAAACAAAGTCAAATTGAGAATTTCAAAACAGATGACTACAGTGACTATGGCAACAGTTTAATAGCACAATTCGGGCATTTCATTTGGATACAGACTTAATAAATGTTCCAGCCATTCATAAAAGCCAGGGATCCACTTCCAGAGATAGGACTAGTCTTCAGGAGGGAAGATCACATTTGGAGAGGTTCAGGAATGCTCACAGATGCCTGAGATCAGCAATCACTGATTCACACCTATCTTATCACCCAGATCACACTTTCAGCTCTACCTAGAAGAAAGGCTTTTTGGGAAGATTTAGTAAGCACCAGGAGGCAAGTCTGAGGACAAAAGGGAGTAAATTAGCGAGACAGCCAACAGGAGCCAGGCAGGGATGAGTCTGAGGCTTGGTTTACTAAGAGGGCCTTACCTTGGGGTAGCAAGAGGAACTGCAAGGAGCTGGACACTAAACTTGGAAGGGAGGACACCCAAAGGTTCACCTACAGAGAGGAACCAGGGCCCCTCACCTCCTAGTGGGCCATGAGAACACTGTACAAGTAAGCAGCACAAAGCAATCCTAGTGTCTTCACCTTGTGTTAACAGGTGAAGGAGTGTTGTTTATGTCTGTTTGCTGTTGATTGCATCCCCCAATCAAGACTTGAAACAAACACTTCTGGTCCTCTTCCATTTAGATGCAAGTGTCATGGAGGTGGAAATGCTGTCATTCCTGTCTCCAACCACCAGAACAGGCTGGCTCATGCAGGTCCTCAAGACTAGAACATTCACTGAATGAGTACACATGTGTGAACATGAGACATCTATTCACACAAGCTCGATGAACCTCCCATTCTTGAGATAGTAATAATAAAAGTGGAATTCCATAATGGAACATAAACCACAGAGAAAACAAAGCTGACAATATTGGAACACTCAGAAGAAAATTCTGGCGAGGTCCGGCATTTTGGGGAACCCAGTTACCCAAATCTTAATGTTCATGCAGAGAAACAAAATGATAGTCAAGTCTCCCCTGAACCCATATCCCAGTGTGATAAGTTAGAAGTGGCATAGTGTGAATACTGCACTCCTTACTTCCCCAAAGCAAGGATCCTTAGCTTAGGTCAGGGCCACGGCAGATTAAGGTCTGCCTAAAATGTAAAATACAGAGAGGGAGAAAATATTTATAAACCACATATCCAACAAAGGACTATACCTAGGATATATAGAGAACTTACAATTCTTAGCAAACACAAAGCCACATAATGAGATAGTACTGTACTTATCTATCAGAATGGCTTAAAAAAAAAATAAAGGGGTAACACCAGATGCTGGTAGAGAAATCAGACCACTTACGGTACAGCCACCCTAGAAAACAGTTTGGCAGTTTTAAAAAAATGTACACGTACAATATCATATGACTCAGCAATTGTTCTCTTGGGCATTTCAAGAAATGAAAACTAGCGTCTAAAAAAAAACCTATACATGAGTGTTCACAGCAGCTTTATTTGTAGAAGCCCCAAACTGTAATAGCCTACATGTTCTTTTGACAGGTGAATGGTTAAACTGTGATACAGTCATACTGTGGAATACTACTGGGCTGCAAAAAGAAGAACTGTTGACATATATATATAAAACAGCTTGGATGAATTCCTAAGAAATGTGCTGACCAAAAACATCAATCAAAAGATTATATTCTTCTGCTATGGCTGGATATGGTTTGAGTGTCCCTCATAGGTTAGTTTGTTGGGGGCTTGGTTTCAAGGTGGCGCTTTTGTTAGGTGATGAATCCTCTAAGAGATGGTGCCTAGTGAGAGGTCCTTAGGTCACTGGGGTCCTACCCTCAAAAGGCATTAAAGTAGTTCTCTCAAGAGAGAGTGGTTATAAACAGTGCAAGCCTGGCCCTACCAAGTCTCTTTGGCTTCCAGGTTTCTAGATGTGATTGCCTGCTCCCTCATGTGCACACATCATTGTGTAGCCAGGAGGGCCTTCACTACAACTGAGCCAATGCAGCCAAAGTCCTTTTCTTCATAAGTTAGCTTATCTCAGGTATTTTGTTATGAAGAAAAGATAGCTTATCTCAGGTATTTTGTTATAGTGATAAAAAACTGACTAATATCATTTTCAAATTTAAGAAACTAAGATCAGTAACTGCCAGGGATTAGTGATGGGGGATGGGGTTGTGGAAGGGAGGCTAATGTGGTTATGAGGGCAACTGGAAGATCTTTTGGTTTTAGAACTGTGCAGTATCTTTACTGTGGTAATACAGCAATCTCCACAGGTATTAGGAGTATACAGAACTTGAATGCAAACAAATAAGCACAGGTAAAACTGGAGAAACAGGAACAGGAAAGAAGGACATCAATATTCTGACTGTGACATTATACTAAGGCTTTACAAGATGTTATCACTGGGGGAAACTGGACAGGGGTACAAGGGATCCACATTATTTCTTATAAATACATAAGCATCTCCAATTATCTTAATTAAAAAATTATTTATGGGGGAAGATTCAAACCTTTCTACTGTGGTCTCCCTGGGTCTATACCTTCAACTATTTCTTCACCAAGTATTGTTTTACATATAGTCATTGTTTTCCAAGACTGAAAACAATCTTAGAGACAGGCCCTATTTGTTTTGGAAAAAAATAAAAAGAAACTGAGGCCTAGAAATGAAGTAATCCCCTAAAGCTACACAGTAAGTGGCCAAACAAGCAAAGCACATGACCCTTCTGCTACTCCACACTACCTCTCTGATTCGTAGGCTACTCAAGTGCTATAAAATGACAACTTGAGAAAACAAATTGTTCCTGCAGGAGCTATAAAAATTTTCAATTTTCTGGAAGACCTTTATAAGAGTAAGCTAACTATTTTAAAATGGTATTAAAAAAGGGAAGAAATTATGGAATAATATATATGGTAAGATTCCCATAAAACAAAMTTCTAAATGTACAATTTACATGTACGTAAATGCACAGAAAAAGAGCTAAAAGAATATCTAGAGATTATCACTAGTTGTCCCTCCCGGGAGACCAAAGAAAAAGAAGAGGATTGGTCAAGGGGCATCTGAACTTGAACCACCCACAGTGCTTGAGTTTAAGTCTTCATTCCAATTCAGGTACAACTGGTCTACTTTTTTTTTTTTAAGAAGGGAAAAAAGAAAACAAACACTTACTGCATTCATAGATCTGTTCCAGCTTATCCACAGAAGAAAGGGAGAAAAATTTATAACCGGACTTACTACCAACAGCTAGGGACCTGCAAAAAAGCCAAATTCAGAAATAAGAGCTGATACATGTAGACAGTGATAATGCACAAACTAACTCCCATGTCAGTAACCAGCATTCCTACCAGAAATTAGCATAGACCAAGTAATTTCACCCAGTTTATATCAGGTGTGTGGCAGAGGAAGTTGCTATAAAAATCAATAAAATATAGACAATACTCTTATTTGAAAGTTACATTCTTTTTCTGGATATCTACTGTACAGGACAATGGCTATAATAATAAAAATATACCACATACTCAAAACACTTCTCACTACAAAGAAAGTAACTATATGAGGTGATGGATATACCTTAATTAGCTTGATTACATCACTTTATAATGTATACATGTATTAAAGAATCATATTGTACAATTTAAATATATACAATTTATCCATCAAACACAAAACTGGGGAAAAGATTAAAAACACTAAAAAAAAAACCAACTTACAAAACTCAAGTTTGAGATATGAATGAAAAAATGATCAGCCCTAAATTACTGATTCCCTCACAATAAACTGGGGATTCTCAAGGGATGCCTATAGGGAGTCCACTAGGGTCTGAGAAGTTAAGCAAGCTGGCCCTGCGTTCTAAATTTTAAAGATGTTTACAACCTCTGTGGACTTGGCATCTTTCTGCATTTCAGTAAGCCCTTTCACAATCATGTCTCAATCACCTAGGTTGTATTATGGCTGAGCAACAGGGTGAAAGCAAAACAAACCAAAAAGCTAACTTAGAACGCTGTTGGCTTAGAAAGAGAAGGATCCCTTCTGAAAGCTTCACATTTAAGATGCCATTTTAACTACCCAACAGTCCTGCTTTAGCAAAGAGGCTTGGAAAAACCTCAGGAGCTCGTCCAACCCTCCCCAGTGCAGGGGACCAGTGACACCAAATGAAGGATTTCCTGATCAAAAAATCCTTCTCTCCCAAATGCAACCGAACAAAGAAAACAGAAAAGAGAAGAAAGTGCAGCCTTCAGAAACAGAAAGAATGCGCAAATAATGCAGGAAGTGGTGGGATATAGGAAGAATCAGATACTAAGATCACTTTTGTTTGTAATGTCTGGAAGAATGTGAAAACAAGTGGATAAACCAGAAGACCAGAAAGAATGAAGATGGACATATCATACTACTAGCATCTGTACCCCACAATAAAAATGAGAGGTATTTTAATGATCATGTCATCTATTAAAAATCTTTTAGATTTCCAAGTCTTACATGCACATGTGGAAGATATATAAAATGTAAGAAGGAAGCAACTATTAATAAGTTACACTGGTTCAGTCACACTGGTGGAGAGCAGAAACAAAAAATTTCTACCAGCTTTTTGATTTTTCTTTGCAAAACACTTTTCTATATTGAATTATTTTTTAAAAAATATTTTTAGATGTCATTTATTTATATGTGGTGCTGAGAATTGAACCCAGTGCCTCACACATGCTAGGCAAGTGCTCTACCACTGAGCCACAACCCCAGCTTTCTTTCCTGTGTTCTTAAAGCAAGGAAAAGGCAAATTCTTTTGAACTGATGGTTTCATCTACCCAGTATCAAATGGACAGACTGTAGGGCTTTGATAAAAATATTTTCCATGGCTGAGGGCGCAGTTCTATGGTACATGTGCTTAGCATGCATGAAGCCCTGGATTCACTCCTCAGTGGTACTCACATGCACACATGCACACACAATTCCTAACTTCAGTTTTGCTGACAGCTGTCACTTTTCCTCATGACTATATCATCATTAGCAGCCCTTTCCTTTTCTAATTTGCTGATTTGGAAACCAAATCATCAGTTATTAGCATTACGTATAAAATAAGCTTAGAAAAGGCCTTTCCCATGAGCAAGATTAATGAGCCTTAGAATCTGATCCTTGAATGTGAGTTTCCCTGACTCTCAAGTGTGCTCCCCACAGACAGTTAAAACCAGGCTTTGCCAATCAAGCTTGATGTTCTTATAGATATTCAGAAACTGATTTTGAATACTAAATGCCTCAGCTAGAATCTTAATCCCAAAGCCTATAAAATTTATTGTGTACTCCAATCAGTAAGAAATTGAAGTAAAAAAATCCCAAGTACTTTTCTGAGGTGTAGATATAGTATTGTAGGAACATAAACTTTTATCAGTAAAGGTAGGCAGTTAAAAATGATGTTAACTGTAAGTTGGCTGGGAATCTAGCTCACAGGCAGAGCACCAGCTGAGAATGAGCAAGACCCTGGGTTCACTGCCCAGCACAAACATAATAAAATACTGCCAACACCAGTAATCAGGTTCACACACCCCTCACTGATTTTGCTTTTAATAATTTCTCTTGATTTGCCTGACCACAAAATGGCAGATATGAGAAAGGTAGAATAGGAAAGTATGAGATTTACTCTAATGAATAATTTTATTAGCAATAAATGTTTGTGTTTTTCTAAGAGTTAACAGAGTGGTATCTTTAGGATCTTCTATTGACMATGGGTAAATAAAAACAAACATACATACAGACCTGTTTGTTTAATGCTCCCCACCCCCTCCCACTGCATGCCCTCAACTGTGCCTGGTAACCAAATCCAGAGACCCTGATTTGGTCCTTTGCAGAGACTAGGCCTTTCTTTGTTAGAGAGGAGAAGCAAGTGTCTTGAACACTCTGAACCAATCCTCTTTACCTTCATCACCCCTCCTCTTCTTCCTTCACTTCTGGAGCTGCCCTAGACAGACATTCCTGAGCCTTTCAGGGATTCTGCAGTGATTCTTAGCTTTCTCTACTAGCCATTTAGGATGCAGTTTCCTTTAACACTTGCTAGTTTCCCAATTTTGTTGCTAGCATCTCCTTTCTCATTCTTCCTACCCTATGAGTTGAGCCCTTTAAAATATCTTTTATGACATTTATGAGGATTTTGGGGGGGGAGCCAAAATAAATGCTTGTGTTTGAGCCACCACATTTAACTAAAAGTCTCTGTCACTAAATTTAAACTTGAGCATTCAACATCTAAAAGGTAGCAACTTCCACCAAAAAAAAAAAAAAAAAAAGGAAATCAATGCTTTTTTTATTTGACTGCATTATCTCTTCTCTAACATGTTCTTACTCATCAGTCCATAAAGGCCTTTCCCTTTCATTATCTTCAAGAAAAGGCCATACTTGATTACGAGATTATGTGGACCAGGTCAACACTGTAAACAGAAAGCAGCCTGTCCCTGCTGCCAAGTGACTTGGTAGGTCTTGGCACCCTCACTTAGGACCATGGCTGCTCAGAGTTCATGGCAAAGACAGTACCTCTTCCCCAATGCACATGTCTCACCCCAGATGTGCACCTGGATAGCCCTAATGTCTTTCACACTCATTGGGAGACACACAAAATTCTTTCCTTCACTAAATTTTCTTCCCATGACCTTATCACTGTTCACCTAGAATCCACACCAGAAACTGGAAGTCATCCAGCTTCTCCCTTGACTGCACCAAGCATGACCCATGGGTCACACAAGTCCTGATGGCTAATCAGTCTCCTCCCCACTGGTCACTGTTGGCAGTGTGATTTTCAACTATATCCTCTGCACAGCAGGCAGAATGACCTCCAACTTTAGGGTGGAAGGAGCCTTACAAACCATCTTCAAGTTCCAGATGAGGACACAGTGGAGAGCAGTACCTCAATGAACAGTTAACTGTCAACTGGAAACATAAGAAACACAGTGGAAGGAAACAATCACTACCTCCAGACACTTCAAAACATCAGTCTACAAACACCAGGTTTGGGAAGTCAAGTCCCTTTATTCTATTTCTTTCAGAAATGTTTAAAACTGATTTGGCCATGTCACTAACTTCCCATAAGCTGTTGTATCCACTGGAAAAATTTAGTCCCTGATATTTCCACTTAAGAGGCAAGTGACCCTCTGACTCTTATTCACTGGTTCACTCCATTCAAAAAACCAAGAAGTGCTTCAATATAAGCCCTCTGCAGCGTCACTTTCAGAAACCAAGATGAAAACCTACCAAGCAAAAGAGAGGCGATCACGACCAGCTGCTCTTGCTGTCTCTTTCACTGCTCTAATTAAAAAACAAAAACCAGATGGTAAAAAGCAAATAAAATGTATTCACTTTTAGGATAAGAATCATGGGGGAAAAACCCATAATATTTGAAATACGACCAATATAAGAAGAAAGGTAAAAGTTATAGTTTGTGTGGAATGAATATTGTGGTAAGCATTTAAAAGATAGAAGACCAAGTGAAATTACTGTATGACATACATATATGCTATTAAGTGAAATGGCCTCCAAATGTCGCCTTTGAATACAGTAGATGTGGATTCTCCAGACACCCTTTGCCTTGCTAAAAACTGCATTCTTCGGTTAAAATAAACACTGGTGTCAGGAAGGGAGGGAAAGGCACGAACCACAAAGCCTTTCCACAAGAACTTTTCTATTTCTTTCAAGTGTAGCTTTAAAACAAACTATAGTCATGATAATCTAACAAACTTTTAGTATAATTCTAACTTACTATTCCCTCCAATTTATGTATAAAGTATATCAAGGACTCTTTGGCAAGTCAAAATTCTGACACCAAAATCTTCTCTTGAACTAGTAACTTCAAGACTGAGGAGTGGGCAACATATGATTTCCAAGTCTGCAAAGGTTCTACTTCAGGCCAGAGTGACATCTCTTATTATATAGGGAATCTGGCAGTGAGTTTAAAATAACACAAGATAACACCGTTCTTACATTTGACTTTCCTCAGGTATTTATAAGAAACTAGTGAAAAGCTGATAAAGTGGTAGAAAATGTTTTGGAAATTCTCTCATTTAGACAAGGCATAAAACTCCATGATACTACCATTTCTTACTGGTTTCAAAATATAAAGGCTTAGAAACCAAGATCAGAATTGGTCTGAAAGGTCCTCTTCCCTACCTAGATTACTACACAGTCTATCCCAATTATAACAAACTGAAACAGGTTGTCTACACAGTTTTTGTTGCACTAGATTTCAGTCATACACACAACACTACATATTTGATACTTTTACTGTTTATAGATTACTACATCATTATTTTTAAATTCAACACCTTCAGAATTCTGCTCTGAAGGTAGAGAAAAGCAGAGTGGAAAGAATGCTGCAAGAGCGCTCAGGAGACAGGATTCCACTCCTGCCCTCATCACTGTTAACCAATCGTGAGACTCAGGCAAGTTCTGAACCTTTCTGCATTTCAGTTCCCTGATCTGTAGCTGAAGCAGGTGATCTGCCCCTTTCCAACTCCCAACACAGCCCCAATGTGTGACTGTCTTCCAACATCTCACAACTTTGGGAAGACGCTATTGAGCACCTGTGGCACACCTCCGACCTGGTGTTTCCCAATCTACAATTAACTTTTAATTAGGGGGAAAAAAATCTCTTTTTACTTTGCTAATTTCATTCTGCCAGGAGCAACCCACTATTTAGTCTGAGGCCAAGTGACCCACTCCTCCTCTTTTTACATCACTTCCTCTTACTCACTTCCCAAGATGGCTCGCCTCCCTTCCAGGCCCATAACTCATCCTTCCTTCTCCAGTAACCTCATCTATTAACTATGCTCACAGGGCATCCCAGGCAGCCTCTGAAGAATCCGTTTCCGACCCATGTCAAATCTGGACAAAAGCATTCAGAATCCACGGGTTGGCATTAAGGTCTTTTCAAATTGCCCCAAGGAAGAACCACCCCTGGAAGCACTGGAGTCCCCGGGCACRTCTTTCTAACACTTCTCTGGGCTCTCTTTTCCCTAGGTCGGAGGCTGGGATCATTGCTAAGTTTGTCTGTTGTCTGAAGACGTCAAAGTCACCTGCCAAAAAAGAACAACGGGAGAAGAAGGAAAAGAAATCAAAGCGAGAGAAGGGGCTCTCGGAGGAGGAGGAGAGCGCGGATGGCGAGAGTGGGCAAAGAGGGCTGAGCCAGGAGGAGGGGGCGGGGACGCGGAGGCCACCCCTGCCCACCACTCGGCAGGCGGCCGCCACGGCTAATCGAGTCCAGAAGTTCGGCCCCAACTTTGTGAGAAGCGAGGTCCGACGTCAGCCTCCAGCCAGCAGGTGGAAACAGCCCTGCTCCATCCCCTCGTCGCCCGAGGTGCACCGCCAGAGGGTGCGCGGGGAGGCCCCCCGCGAGGCAGCCTCGGGCCTGCCCTCACCCCGACCCAGCCGAGCCGGCCGCGACCCCGGCCCGGTTCGGTCCGACCCAACCCAGACCCCGATCCGGCCTTACGTATTGTCCTGGTTGAAGTTGGCGAAAAGCAGCTGGCCAGCGCCGGCCTCGCCGCTCTGGCTCGCCAGGTTCATGGCTGCGCGCGGCGGGGCGGCCCGTGCGGGCGCGCGCGGGGACGGGTCTGGCTGCGCTCAGGGTCGGCGTCCGGCCCCGCTCGCCGCCTGGGTCGCTGCCACTCGCTGCTGCGGGATCAACCGCCGCCTCATCCCGGCCCCGCTCTTGTTTATGCTCCGGAGCCGGGGCGTCCTGCGCGCTTGCGCGGCTCCACCCCCCGCAACGCACGTCCTCTCGGCGCAGGCGCACTGTCGAGGCCACGCCCCCTCACCTCCGGCCGGGCCAGGGTTCGGGTCAAACACGCACGCGTGGGACGCGCCGTGGCGTGCTGCGGGAACGCATGCGCCTGGGGAGGAGAGGGTGGACGCTTTCTTGTGCGTGCTGCGGTCACCTTATTAATGCTGAGGGAGCCACCAAAGGCCGGTGGTGGTACAGAGAGCTCGTGCATCCCGTGGTATTTGATGCTCGCTGCAGCCTGGCGTAGAGAATGTTATATCCTCACTTTGTAGATTTCAGATCTACAAAATCATTTGCCAAGTGTTAGATCAGACTTTGGGAAACCACTCTGGGTTCCTGGGACAGGAGTCGACCTAGTCATTCAACAATATTTAGGAAGAGCCCAGCGTGGTGGCACACACCTGTAATTCCAGCCAGTGGGGAGGCTGAGGCAGAAGGATCGCAAATTCAAAGCCAGCCTCAGCAATTTAGCAAGGCTATAAGCAACTTAGATCCAGTCTCAAAAAATTTTAAAGGGGGACTTGACTCAGTGATGGAAAGCAAATGAAAGGTATTACAAAAAGAAAAAGAAATGAGAGACTTCAATGGACCAGTGATGTTTTATTATTCAGTGGAGGGGCACATTTTTGAAGGGAAGATGGGGGCGGGCTGCAACAAGGGTCAGGGTTTTACAGGGTTTTAGCAGGGCCAGGTCATGGGAGGAGTTTTGTTCGTGGGCCCATGGAGATCTTGTAGGGGGACAGTTGTAACCTTATCCCTTACCAGTCCCTGGGGCCTATGGTCCATATCCGTTGGTGATTAGGTGCCCCTAAACTCAGTAATCCCCAGAACCCACAACAAAAGCAAAACAACAAACAAAAAAAGCAATGTTTAGGAAGCGCCTTCCGTGTGACCCCAAAAGCTCCTCCTTTCCCTGAGAAGTTCTAGGGGGGAAGATATTTAAGTTACAATAACAAAACTGGGATACTGTTTTTTGTTGTTTTTTTTTTTKKGGGGGGGGG